AAAAAAAGTAGGAACCACCAGTGACACCTTCCAATCATCTGCAGACTGTTATCATAATCACCATCACTGCCTTGCTCACCCTGGGTTAGGGTACAGGCTATGAGAAAACACTTTCCACCTTTCCCTATCCCGGGCTAGCCTCTTATTGTTATTCCACATATTCCCACTCCCCCCACTCTTCTGTACATCCTTCTCTGTGACTCTTCTCCATATTCCACGAGGCTTTCCCCTTCATCTCTCACCCTTTAGATTCCAATCCAATCGGCAGACTGTGTAATGTTGTGTTAGTGAGCCTATTTTCAGTTTTGCCGCCAGCAGACCTTTGCATGTCTCTCTCTCCACCCCCCCTCCTCCCTCCTTCCCCCATCCACACAAACATAAACAAAACAACTCACACAAGACAAACATAAACACACCAACTCACACACAAACATAAACACTTCAACACACACACACACAAACATAACACATCAACGCACACACAAACTGCACACTCACCGTATTTCCCCCAGGAGTCCCATCTCCACCTCTCTGACCAGCCCCAGCTCACCAGGGTTCAGAACCTCCGTCTGGAAAACATACAGCACTGGTCACTTCTCTTACATAAGGTCACGCTCATCACACAATGTTTGTAGTTTTAGTAAGAGTTTCACGGCACTTGCAACACAATAAGGTCATATAGATGCCAAAGATTAAAGGTGTTACAACAGAGTAACAAACACAAAAAAAGAAGGAGGAGATATCAGAACGATAGATGTTTCATAGGAAAGAAGGAGCAAACTACACCAGAGCACCCGCCAAACACTCACATCACACAATGTGACTGTAATAATAACAATAATCATCATCATAACAACAACAATAATAATGATATTAAAATGATAATGTTAATAACAATGACAATAAAAAACATTATGGGAGCAAAAGCAGCATGCACACCAGTAAATAAAACGTTACCTCTAAAAAGTTGCCAGCATTTGTCTCAATGGCGTGCAGAGCAAAAAGGCAGCACAGTCGGTGCAGGACAGTGGCAAGTTCCGGGCTGGTCGACCCCCTCAGTCCCTGGACCGCCCTCACGTTGTACTGAACCAGGGTCTGCCAGCCATGGGCCTGGGGAGGGGAGGAGTTGGGGAGGAGGGAGTTTGGGGAGGGAGGGAGGTAGGGGGTGGGGGGAAGACATTTAGTCCCGTTCATTTGGTTTGGTTGTTTCAAACTAAGAACACAACACTCTAGACTCAAACAACATATGTGTAAGTATTTTTTATTTGCTATACTGTTTCTAATCGACATCTTTCATTTAACTTATAGCAGATTCAAATTCAGCTACATTTTTTTCGTACAAAGAAATCTTTCGCTTTTTGGAGACAGTATGTCGTATTTACAAACTGGACACAAAAGTCACCCCTAAGGTCCTGCTGTGAAGGACTATATTCCGCTAAGATCCTGCTAAGATCATGATGTACTGAACAAAAACCTCAGAACATGCAGCTGAACAACTAAGCAGCCAAAAATTTTGATTATTGCGCTGCCCATTGCATCACAGATCATGCACTCAGGTGGACGTGATCACATCTACGTTGCAAATCTCGACGAGTGGGTACAATGTTTGTCCCAGTCGGACCACGCCGGGGTGCAACATGGACTGACCTTTGCCGCTCGGACCAGAGCCACCATGTTCTTGTTCCAGGCCTGGTCCTGTGGGAGTCCTCGCTCCATGTCTGCCTGAAGTCTCTGTGCTGTCTGCGACACGATCCTGCAGGACAGAAATCATCGCTGTCATTCGACATTGTTCAGTTTTCGTTTTAGTTAAGAGCTTTACGGCACTTACAACACAAATACATCGTATAAGTACCAAAGATAAGAGGTGTTAATTGATAGTAACATACAAAGAAAAGAAGGAGGAGAGATAAGGATGACAGATGTTTGATTGGATAGAAGAAGCAAACCACACCAGAGCACCTACCACCATCCCCATAAGAAATTTACATTTGACATTTTTGGCAAAAACTGTTTTTCTACACACACACACATACGTACACACACACACATATATATACACTGAGAGACAAGTAAACCAGAAGTTACAATATGTAAACAATTATGGCAACAACAAAATATATCAGAAGTGAAAAAAGAAAACTACCAAATCATCACAGAAAGAGAAAGTAAGAAGACCTCATAAATTTTTTTTAAAAGGAGGGGTGGAGGGGTTGGGCAAGAGAAAATAGATAATGCTTTATCTCCAGTGCAAAACAGATCGATTCTTCTATTGAGAGAAAACATTCCGTGCATTTTCTAAAACAAAACGTTTTCTCTAACTGCATCACACAAACAACACGCTACCTCTGGGCCGCCCGTTTGAACAGAGTCAACAAAAGGTCAAGGTCACGGAGCTGCTCGGGGCTGGTGATGCTGAGTTCTGTCTCCTGGGGGTCAGCGAGGTAGGAGCAGGAGTGACCGACGGTCAGACCGGACAGAGTAGCAGCCATCTGACGCATCAAGTACCTGGAACAGGGGAGGAGTTGTTTAGTTTTAGTAACAGTTTTACGGCACTTGCAACACAATAAGGTCATATAAAAGCCGAAGATTAAAGGTGCTACAAGAGAGTAACAAACACAAAATAGAAGGAGGGGTGATAAGGACGATAGATATTTGATAGGAAAGAAGAAGCA